ATATCATCTGTCCTCTGCCCTCTGCCCCAAAGCTGTTCTTGTGCTGCCTGAGTTTCCCTCTCCCCTCTGCCATGCTCACGGGTGTTTCTGGTGGCTCCCAAAACTTGAGCTGTTTTTGTTACATGACATACTGCCCTTAATGCATAGCTTTGTCCTCTCTGCTGTCACTCCTAACTCTAGACCCAGAGGGAAATATTTTCTGGAAGTTTATTCTTTTTTTTCTTTTTTTTTTCTTTTTTTTTTTTTGCCTAAATTGTATATATGATATTTATATTTTTTTTGGTCTTTTCTATGTTTTTTTTTTTTTTTAAAGAAGGGCAAGACTGCATTCTGTAAACTGGAAAACAAACCCACGTGACTCAAACTCAGTGCTGTTCTTTGTGATCTGCACAGACATGGGAGTGGATTTGACATTATGAGCTGTCTTCCCTTTCCAAAAGTGAGCCTGGATGCCAAATGTGTCCCTTCTCCTCCAGTCCTGTGTGAACCCCCCTTGTCCCACTGTGGGAGGGGCACTGTGTGTCTGTCTGTCCATCTCCTTCCTGCTGGAAGTTGGGTGCCAGGGGTGCCAGTTGGACATGGAAAGCCTTTGGCTGCTCAGAGCCATTCTGCAGGCTCTTGCTTCCCTGGAGAAACTCTGGGTGAAGGCTCTGCTCCAAATTTCAGCGAATTGTTTTGTGTTTTCTGAGCAGTTTGGCTAAATCAAAGCTCCTCATTTCTAGCAGTGTGCATCAGCAAGTTGTCCCTGTGCTGTAGGAGCAGAGGGAAAGGCCAAGGGGAGCTCTGGGTCCTGTCCACAGTCCCGTGGCAGATCCTGTCTGAGCTGTGCTTGGCTGGGGCCCAGACGTGCCCTCTGGGAAGGAGCAAAGCAACAAGGAGATGCAGAGTGGCTCGGGCTGCTGAAGCCCAGCATGGAGAGGACGTGGTGTGGGAGGAGCAGCAGCCAAGCCCATGCCTAGAAAGCAGCCCTGAAGCTGCAAAGTCCTGCAGGCTCAGATGGGACAAACTCCCCTGAGCTGGAGAGGAGCGCACGGCGCTGGAGCTCTCTGGAGTATTGGGAAGCAGCATCTGCCTGCCCTGGGGAAGGGCTGTGGGGTATCCTCAGCCTGTTTGGCAAGGTAATGCCACCTTGCTGCCCTCCTGCAGCCCCCAGGGTCCTCCTGTGCTGCCTTGCAGCCTGGGCAAGGTCTGTGAGTCTGTCTGTGCTCCAGCAGCCGTGAGCACTGTCCCTCCCTTTCCTCAGCTCTGGCAGGGGGCTGTTACCCCTGCTGGAGCACAGCCCTGTCCTGGGTCACACAGCACGTCTTCCCAGGCCATGTCAGTCACTAGAAGTCACCCAAGCCCCTGGCCCAGGAGGCCAGCTATTTCTTTGGGACACTGGAAGACATGTGGCTTCTCCTAGCCCGCTCCAGCTGGCTCCGGAGCAGGGCAGGCACTGTGCAAAGGCCAAGTGGTTCATGTCATCTGCAGAAGGACAGGTTCAGTCCCTGCCTCCCCCACAAACTTCATCAGGCCCCACTGCCCACAGTTCTGGCCCCAAGGACAGGCCTGCCTGCCCCTCAGGGGTGGAAGGCCCTGGTTGCCCCCAGGCTGCCTTGCACTTGAGGGTGCATGCTTGGCTGGCAGCATGTCCTGGTGACAAGGATCTGCTCAGGAGGGAAAAGCCCTGTGTGGAATTGTTTCCCTTGAGAAGGCAGGAGGAGGAAAAGGATTGGGTTTCTTTGCCCAGCTTGATCTCAGGAGAAATGCCCTCTGGGAAGGGTCTTCAGTGCAGACCAGAAATGCTGCTTCCTTCCAATACTCAGCTGCTCTCCGGGTGCTTCAGCTGGGGAGAGCAGCAGAGGGGCAGAGGCCCCTGCAGGGAGGTGCTTTGCTGTCCCTTGTCCTTGGCTCTGGCCCAGCACAACTGGTTTTTCTCTGAGGAGGCTGTGGGCAGGCACAGGGAGTCAGGAATGGTGGTTCTCTTGCAGAGTGATGAAGGCCTTGGAGGTCTGGAGGCTCTGAGCAGGATGGCAGGAAGGGGATGGACTGGAGGGGTATGGACCTCCTTTTCCAGTGTCTGGGCAATGAAGCCACCAAGGCCCTGGCATCAGAGGTCTCTGCTGGGGACAATTGTCCCTTCTCCATGCTGGTGGCTCTTGGGAGGTGAAGTCTCTCCTGGTTCCTGCAGCCACCCCACAAGAGCTTCTTGTGACCTGCTGAGCACCGCAGGGAGCAGCAGCACCTCCAGGGTGCTCAGCAGCTGACAAGCCTCGCGGGTAGAGGGGGTTTGGGAGAAACGTGTTGTTTTAAGGGCATTTTTGTACAAAGCAACTGTTCTTTGGTCTCTGGCGAAGCCTCTCTGAGGACACTTTATTGTTTACATTGACTCCTGTACAATATCCCAGCCATGGCTGCCCCGTCCCGGCCGTACTGTAACGTGTGAGCCTTGCACAAACGGGCTGTGTGTGCGTGAAACTGGTTTTACACTGCGTTCTGTTGCACTCGGTGGTGTGTGTGGGTGCTCTGTGTGTGAGTGTGAGTGTGTGTCTGGTCTGCTTGAGAAGTTGTGACCTGTACAAATCTCTCCCCTCTCGGCCCTTTCCTGGGGGCGCAGTCCCAGCGGTGGCAGGAGGTGACACCCAGGACACTGGGATGTTTAAACTGAGATTAGCTCAGTGTCCCTCTGCCAGCCAGGGCCTGGTGGAAGGGATCCCACCCCACCTCCGGCTGCTCCGGGGACCTCCTGGGAGGAGCGAGCTGGGGATCCATGGCCACAGGGGCACCGCACCCGCCGGGGGCTCCAGGAGCCTCGCAGCTCTCTGGCAGGAGGAAGCCATACCCGCCACAGGGCCCTGCTCCCTGCACGGTGCGTCCTGCCTTAACTCGGGCCCGGCTCCACACAAACACCCCCAGTTCTCCCCAGGGGAGGGGCCCCGAGCCCTCGGTGTGGGGCAGAGGCAGGTGCTGGCCTGGGGCAGGGCTCGGTGCCAGAGGTGCTAACAGCCCGCCCACGCTACAGACAGCTCTGTTGGCACGAGAGAAGGTGCCAGTGCCTTTTATTTTCCTTTCTGGAGGTGTGACGTCCGTGCGCTGGTTTGTAGGGATTGTCCAGGGCCGAGCAGCTGGCGGTGGGGCTGCGAGTTAGGGAGGGGAGTGCTTCTGTCTGCCCCTCCTGGATCTTCCTTGGTGGCTGGGATCGTCCCCTTTCCCCCTAAAGACTTTATGACCGATGCGCTCAGCTGTTTTTAAATGTGAACTTGTGCACTGATGTGCAGATTCAATGTTCTTGTTACCGAATGAATAAAAGTTTTATTTTGAAGATGACAAAGGCGTGTGGCTTCCTGTTTGGGATTGGGACTGAGGGTGAGGGAGTGATCTGTGCTGCTCTCAGAGCATGAGGTGGCAGTGGGGTCTGGAAAGCAAGAGCAGGGTTGTTCCCTCTCATGGATGGGCCCATCCTGTCCCAAGTGATGGAGCCATGCTTCCAAGAGGTACTTCCAAGCCACACTGCAGTTGCAGGGAAGATTCCAAGGGTCGTGTATTTAAAACTCTCAGGATGCTGCAAGTGCCCTCCTTGCACTGCTGCAGACACAGGAGCTGTGAGGAGGGTTCTGGGTTGAAGCTCCAAGGGGGATGTGAGGTTTTAGCTGGACACTGGACAGCTTGTCTCTGGTTTTGGTTTTGCTCCATTGTGGCAAGAAAGGCAGTGTGAGGGTCTCTGTGCCCTTGCTGTGAGCAAGGGACTTCAGAAAGCCAAATTCCCTGGGCTCAGCCTCACCTTCCATGCAGGAGTTTCCCACCAGGCCAGAACTGAGTGGGCACCAGGGTGTGGGGCCAGGGCGGCAGGGCTGTCACTGCAGGGCTGTCACTGTGGGTCTGGCAGTGTCTCTGGGTTGCCCCTTCCGCTCCTCCTCCCCCCAGCACCACCTGGGGAAAAACTTCCCAGGACCTTCACTTGCTGGGGATGTCTTGGAGTTAAGGACACGGGACACGGAGTGAGCCAGGGCTGTGGTGGGACAGGGCGAGCAAGGGGGGCCTCTGCAGCCCCTTCCCTCCCTGCCACCCCTTTGGCCGGGCAAACAAGGATGTCACCTCTTCCCTGCCTTTTTGCCAGCTGCCCCCTCCTGCCCGCTCAGCCAATGCTCGTCCAGCTCCACACGGTGCCCTTGTAGGGTCCAGGGCTTCGCTGCCTTTCCAGGAACCACCGCTCCCCTCCCTCTGGTCCCTGAGCCCTACAATCCCTTAATCCCCTTGGGCCAGGGCATCCCTGCAGGGCTGGGCTTCACTGAATCCCAAATCTGATTCCTGGATGTGCCTGTAACCATCCTGCTGGGCTGGGGCTGAGGTGGGCTTGCAGACCCTTTTATCCTGGGGCAGGTGGGGACCCGTGAGTGTCGGGAGCCTCAGGAGCAGCCCATGGCCGCGGTCCCTGTGGGGCTGGGCTGGCCCCGGGCTGTGCGGGACCCACGGCAGGGTCACAGCCCTGTGCAGAGGTGACCCCCGGGGTGATGCCCCGCCCCTGGGTCTCTCCCAGTACTTCAGAAAGGCTCGGGGGGCTCCTCCTGCCCCCATCTCCCCGCCCGAGGGGCTCCCCGCACCGAACCGGGGGCTGGGGGCACCCTTGGGACCCCCCCGCATTCAGGGTGGGATCGGGGGGCGGCCGTGGCGGGGCTGCCCCGACCCCGCGGGCAGAGCGGGGGGCCGGGCAGGGCGCGGGGCAGGCGGGGCCGGGCCGGGCCCCCCCTCCCGTCCCTCCCGTCCCTCCGGTGCCCGCCGCGGGGGGGCTGAGCCGGCCCCGCCGCCCGGCTCGGCTCAGCTGTTCTCTGCGGCAGCGGCACCGCGCGGGGCCGAGCCCAGCCCAGCCCAGCCCAGCCGAGCCGAGCGGGGCCGGGCGGAGCGGAGCCCAGCGGAGCCCAGCGGGGCCGGGCCGGGCCGGGCCGGGGGGAGCGGAGCGGGGCTGAGCGCGGCCGGCGGGCGGAGCGGAGCCGAGCGGGCGCAGCGCGGAGCGGGCGCGGAGGAGCCGCCGAGCGAGCGCAGGTGGGAGCCGGGTGCGGGGCGGGGGCGGCGGGAGCGCCGTGGGGAGGGACGGGGGGACGCGGGGAGCGGGGCTGAGCCCCCCGGGCCCCGGCCCCTCGCCGCCCGCCGGCGGAGATGGCTATATTTGGACAGTGACCTCTGGTCGTTCCCGAGCAGTCGCTGCGGATTCAATTGTGGCAACGTAATGGCACGGCCGGGGAGCGGGGAGCGGGGCTGTCCTGCCCGCACCCTGCCCGTATCCTGCCCGTACCCCACCTGCACCCCACCGCTCTTTGCCGGCATCCCATCCCACCCCGCCTGCACCCCACCCAGCTCTCACGCCTGCCCCCCGCACCTGCACCCTGTTCCGCCCTGCCTGCACCTTGCCAGCGCCCCACCTGCTCCTGCCAGCCCTTCCTGCACCCCACACGCTCCCTGCACCCTGCTCAACTCCTCCTGCACCGCGTCTGCCCCCAGCTGCACCCAGCCCAGGCAGCCAGGCCGTCCCTTCCTGCCCTGCATGCGGACACCCCGCACTCTGCTCCCGCTGGCGATGGTTGAGGTGCTGGGGGAGCGTCCCCTCGGAGCCTGCTCGCTCCTCCCCGGGGCTGGGGACCGTCCTCGACACTGAGGGGTGACACCGGCAGTGCCGTGGTGCAGCCCCGCTCGGTATCCAGGCTCTGGGCCCCTCAGACCCAGCTCAGCCAAGCCAGGGATGATGCTGAAGTGCCGTGAGGACTCCGGGGACACTCAGCGACTGGGCAGATGTGGTTTGGCAGGTGCTGCATGTGCCCTGTGCAGAATGCACCGGCTGGGACTGGAGGAGCAGATCTGCTCCTGCCTCTGCCCCACCGGCTCTGTGGGCTGGGGACAGGGGTGCCTGGCCGTGCTTTGGTGGCTGGATGTGGCTCCTGACAAAGGCTGTGTGCACCCAGAAGAGCACAGCGGATTCCCCAGGGCAGCCAGGGGCTCATGGGTGCTGCAGAGCCCCAGCTCCGAGGGTTTTGTGGTGCTGAGTGCCTCAGTGTCCCCCTGGGGCAGGTCCCAGGAGCAGCACAGGCTGGGGGCTGAGGTGGGTGCCTGTGGGCATCGTGCCCAGCTGTGGCTGAGGGCTGGAGACCCCACTGAGGCCACAAAGGGGCTCCTCCACGCCCCAGTGTGCCTGTGGGGCTGTGCCAGGTCCTGCCCTTGCCCAGGTGGGGGTGCAGAGTGGGTGCCAGGGATGGGTGGCATGGGACAGGGATCCATGGGGCGAGGCGTGAGCCCCCAGCAGGCAGCTCTGCAGGCACAGCCTGACCCCCCTCCCGCTGCTGGGTCAAGCCAGGCAACCTCAGGCCACTGATGCAGGACAAGGGGACAGGACACAAGGGGACAAGCTGTGACCTGGTGCACGGCGCCTTTATGTCCACCCCAAAGTCCCCTCCACCCTGCTGCTCTGCTGCAGCAGCTCATGTGCCAACCCCAGTGCCAGCCACGGGGCACGGCACAGCTGTGGGGAGCAGCACAGCCTCAGGGCATGGCACAGCTTTGGGACATGGCACAACTTTGGGACCTGGCACAGCTGTGGGGAACGGCACAGCCCCAGGGCATGGCACAGCTTTGGGACATGGCACAGCCACGGGGCATAGCACAGCTGTGGGGTACAGCACAGACTCAGGGCATGGCACAGCTGTGGGGTACAGCACAGCTTTGGGGTATGGCACAGCCACAGGACGTGGCACAGCTGTGGGGTATGGCACAGCTTTGGGACATGGCACAGCCATGGGGTATGGCACATCTGTGGGGTATGGCACAGCTGTGGGGTATGGCACATCTGTGGTACCTGACACATCTGTGGGGTATGGCACAGCCACAGGGCTTAGCACAGCTGTGTGTTATGGCATGGCCATGTCCCTGCCCAGTGTCACGGGGCTCTGGCCAGCAGCTGACAGCCCCCAGCCCCTGCAGCACCCCCCCATCCCTGCACAGGGGCTGCCCTGCTCCCTGCTGTGGGGTCGGGGCTGTGCCATCTCCCATCCTCATTCCCCGCCACCTCAGTGTCCCCAGGCTTCCCGCTGTGCCCAGAGTCTCTCGGAGCACGAGGCCTGAGGGGACTGAGCCCCTCCAAGCCGTGCCAGGAGGGGAGGAGGAGGTGGCCTGACTGTCCCCCAGCCATGAGCCGCCGCGTGGTGCGCCAGAGCAAGTTCCGGCACGTCTTCGGGCAGCCGGTGAAGGCAGACCAGATGTACGAGGACATCCGTGTCTCCAAGGTGACGTGTGACAGCTCCTTCTGCGCTGTCAACCCCAAGTTTGTGGCCATCATTGTGGAGTCCGGTGGTGGTGGCGCCTTCATTGTCCTGCCTCTTGCCAAGGTGAGTGGGGAGGGTGCTGGGGTTTGGTCACGCTGCTGAGATGTGTTGGGGGGAATGTGGTGATGGGTTTGGCTTTTTTGGGGACCTGCTGTGGCCCCAGAGCCCCTCAGCTTTGCCCCAACACCCCCTCCTCATGTGGGGGCTTAGGGCAGGAACAACCTGGGGGATCATTGGCCAAGGGGGACAGGCCCTGGGGTAAGTGAGGTGATCTGGAAAACCGCCAGCTGCCTTCCCCCAGCCCCAATTCCCTGGGGGCACAGCATGCCCAGGGGGCAGCACCAGTGGAGTGGGGGTCTGCCCTGCCAACCCTGGCAGAGAGACTGGGAGAGGGTCCCCAACCCCTCCCTGCCATCAGAGCAGACACAAAACACCTCTCGTGGGCCACAGGATTCTCCTCTGTCCCTGTGAGGCCTTGTGCCAGGTGAACCCCATTTGCCCCATGTGCCTCAGTTTCCACCTTCAAGGCAGGTACAAACCTCTGGCCACTGCCAGAATCCCCTGCACGTCCCCATTTGTGCCACAACCCACGTGCTGGCCAGGCTGGCCTTTGGGGGGTACCTGGCAGGGTCTCTCTCCTGGGGGGCTCACGCTGGTCCCTCACCATTGTTGCAGACAGGACGAGTGGACAAGAACCACCCGCTGGTGACGGGACACACGGCGCCCGTGCTGGACATCGACTGGTGTCCCCACAACGACAACGTCATCGCCAGCGCCTCGGAGGACACCACTGTCATGGTGAGGGGCTGGGCGCTGCGTGGGAGGGGTGGGAGGTGCAGGGGGAGCAATGCAGAGCATCGCCCCCCCTCGCTGCCTGTGAAGTGTCACTGGCCTATTTTTAGCCGCGGTGCCATGCGTTCGCGCTGGCGGCGGCTGCTCGCTCCATGATGCAGCAGTTTGTGCTAAATTTACCCTCCCTGGCGACTCAGCATGCAGGAATAGCTTGGGGGGGGAGCTGGGGGCTGCACCCCGGCCGTGCCCCCCTCCCTGTGCCCACCAGCGCCCCGAGGGCTGGGGATGCACCCCAGGATGGAGGCGCTTCTGGTGTCCCCTGGCCACCCTCCCCGCAGGCTGAGCCGGGATTAATGATGAGGTTAATTGGCTCCAAGGCCCTCATCCGCTTAGTGCTCACACACAGGGTGATCCCCAACACCCGCTCTGTCCCCCCCAGGTGTGGCAGATCCCCGACTATGTCCCCGTGCGCAACATCACGGAGCCCGTGGTGACACTGGAGGGACACTCCAAGCGGGTGAGCATCATCTCCTGGCACCCCACCGCCCGCAACGTCCTGCTCAGCGCAGGTAAGGGGGTCCCGGGTCGCCCTCCCCGGGGTCACAGGAGATCCATGGCGTGACAGCACCTGCCCCCCTGGGTCCTCTGCAGGCTGCGACAACCTGGTGATCCTCTGGAATGTGGGCACCGGGGAGATGCTGCTGGCTCTGGACGACATGCACACCGACCTCATCTACAACGTGGGCTGGAACCGCAACGGCAGCCTGCTGGTCACCACCTGCAAGGACAAGAAGGTCCGTGTCATCGACCCCCGCAAGCAGCAGATCATAGCGGTGAGTGCCCCTGCCGTGCCCCCCATCCCACCCCGGGATCCCCCCCAGTGCCTGCCTGACCCTACTAACCCCTCTCTGCGCGTCTCTGTGTTTGATTTAACCCGCTAACGCTGGCGCAGGAGAAAACCAAACCGCACGACGGCACCCGGCCCATCCGCGCCATCTTCGTGGCCGATGGCAAGATCTTCACCACGGGCTTCAGCAGGATGAGCGAGCGGCAGCTGGGCCTCTGGGACCTGGTACGGGACAGCAGCTCCAGCCTGGCCAGCGCCGATCCCGCAGATCTCAGCCAGGAGCGCTCTGGGGGCCGGGGATACTCTCTGGCAATGTGCGCTTAGGGAGCATCACGGAATGGGACTCAGCAGCTGTTTTGGGGGACAGATCCGGACCCCCTCCATGTTCCCCCCTCCCCATGCCCCGTGCTGACTGTGTCCCCCTCCCCCCAGGAGAGGTTTGCCCCCCACGAAGGGCTGAGGCCCGTGCGGGCCATCTTCACACGGGAAGGACACATCTTTACCACGGGCTTTACCAGAATGAGCCAGCGGGAGCTGGGCTTGTGGGACCCGGTAACGAGGCCGCATGGAGTGCTGCCCTGGGAACTTGGCCCCCCCAGACCCCTTGCTAACCCCCCCTGCCCCAGGATGCCGTGTCTGTGCATCCCCCTCCCAAAAGATGCCAAGTTCCCAAGTGTGCCGTGCAGTGTTGGGGTGGGGAGGGGGCTGGGAGTGCTGGGGAAGGGGGGTTCAGCCAGGCTGGGGGCACCCAGCCATGCAGGTAACCAGGAGTGGGGATGGGGGGCATGCCAAGCTGCCTGCCTGGGGGTTTGTGTGCCCCAGAGGGGACAAACCCTGTCCCCCAGTGTGCTGTGGCTAATGTGTGTGACTAACCATGGTGGGGGTTTTGGGGTCACTGCTCACACCCCTCCACCTTCGCTCCGGCCCCCCAGAATAACTTTGAGGAGCCCATTGCCCTGCAAGAGATGGACACGAGCAACGGGGTCCTGCTGCCCTTCTACGACGCCGATTCCAGCATTGTCTACCTCTGTGGGAAGGTAACCCCCCTTCCCCGGCGTGCACCCCAATGTCACCCCATCCCTGAGGGTGCCAGGGCTGGCTGACAGCTGTCCCCACCCCGCAGGGTGACAGCAGCATCCGGTACTTCGAGATCACGGACGAGGCTCCCTACGTGCACTACCTGAACACCTACAGCAGCAAGGAGCCCCAGCGGGGCATGGGCTTCATGCCCAAGCGAGGGCTGGATGTCAGCAAGTGTGAGATCGCCAGGTGAGAGCCAGGGGGGCTGGGGGGAGCCCGAGGGGGCAGGGGGCTCAGCTGGGCCCTGACTGCCTGTGCCCCACGCAGGTTCTTCAAGCTGCACGAGCGCAAGTGCGAGCCCATTGTCATGACGGTGCCACGCAAGGTGAGCCTGGGGCGGTCCCAGGGGAGATGGGGCCTGGGGAGACACCCCACATCTCACCACGGTGTCTCTGCCCCCGCAGTCAGACCTCTTCCAGGATGACCTGTACCCCGACACGCCAGGCCCCGAGCCAGCCCTGGAGGCAGATGAGTGGCTGTCGGGGAAGGATGCAGAGCCCATCCTCATCTCTCTGCGGGATGGGTACGTCCCCATCAAGAACCGGGAGCTGAAGGTGGTCAAGAAGAACATCCTGGACAGCAAACCCCCGCCAAGCCCCCGGCGCAGGCACTCCACCTGCGACTCAGACTTCTCTGTGAGTGTCCGGGGATCGGGACATGGCAGCAGGGCTGTCCCCCTGCTCTGGGGTGGCATGGGAGGGGCCTGACTCATCAGTGACCCTGTGTGTCCCCCCTCCCTGCAGCAGCCAGCCTTGGAGGAGGTGCTGGAGGAGATCCGTGCCCTGAAGGAGACGGTCCAAGCGCAGGAGAAGCGCATCTCCGACCTGGAGAACAAACTCGGCCAGTTCACCAACGGCACGGACTAGCGCGGCGGCCACGAGCACGGGCAGGGCCAGGACTGCCCCGGCCTGCCGGGGATTAAAGCCGAGTCCCCACCTTGGGCAGGAGCCCGGAACCGAGTTCTTTCCCCAGGAGCCGAGGGGGCAGGCAGGGGTCGGACCTGATCCCACCTCCACTGGCATCAGTGGCATCCTGCTCCATGGGCACCCACTGCAGCACCCGAGGGAGTGTCCTGCTCCATGGGCACCCACTCAGGGCCCACAGGCTGGGGCACAGCAGCCTCCCAGCACAGGGAGCTGCCGGCCCCCCCCCCCAGGCCGGGATGTGCTTGTGCACGGTGCTACCCCCCCACCCCATCACCCCCTCACCTCCCCCTGCCCCATCGGCCCCTCGGAGGGTGCTCCCACCCGGCTCTTTGCTCCTGCACCCCTTTAATAAAGGGCTCAGCCACCCTTGGCTGCGTGGCAGTACCAAGGATGAGGGACCACCGTGCCAGGGGTGCTGCCAGCACCCCCCTGCCAGCTCCCACAGCCTGTGAGCCCCGGCCCAGGCAGAGGGAGGCCGAGAGAGACGAACATTAAAGAGCATTTATTGGTGTCGGCCGCGGTCGGAGCTGCTCGGGCTCCCTCGGCCCTGGCCCAGATGTTGCTGTGGGGTGCACGGGGGCGTGGAGGGGGGGCACCAGCTATGAAAAGTCCCAGGGAGCGAGCCCAGCCCCCCCCACCCCGCAGCCCCCGGCCCCCCGTGTGCAAAGGGGGAGCAGCCGGGGCAGGGGCCGGGGTTAGCACCATTTGACAGAAGGTTTCTCTCGGGGTCAGTGCCCGGGACCAGGGGGTGCAGCGCTGCCAAGGGGGGGCATCCGAGCAGGGTGGAGGGGTGCGAGCAGGGCTAAGGGGGGGTGACACCGGGCTGCCCTCCACAGGCACCCCTTCAGCTGCCCCAGCAGTCCCCGTGCCGTGGGGGGCAGCTGTGCAGCCCCTCGTTGGCTGGGGGGTGCAATAGGGCTGTGCCCCCACCCCTGCTGCAGGCAGAGCAGCTCCCGGGTAAGTGCACTTGGTAGCGCCTGGGCAGGGGGGAACAGGGGGCTGGGCAGAATCCCCTGGCTCTGGGGGCACCCCGGGACCCCACACAGCTGGCAGCCACCCATCCGGGGCAGGATGTGCCCCCCACCACCCTCCCTGGGGTGAGGGGCTGAGCAGCACCCCGTGGGGCGGCTGGGGGAGCAAGGGTGTCCTGGAGAAAGGGTACAGTCCGTGGGGTCCCCTCCCTGGGCCCTGGTTAACACCCACCCCACCCCTGTGCTGCTGTGGGGCGCCCCCACCTCACCCCAATATTGTCCCAGCTCTGGGGCCGCTCTCCCAGGGCCAAATCCTGCTCCCCCATTCCCCATTCGCCCTCCGCAGTTCTTGGGCTGGCTCCCCCCACACCGCTCCCCCCTGTGTGTCCCCAGACACGTCCCCATCCCCACTAGGATGGACGAGGGGGCTCAGCGGGGCTGCGGGGTCACTTCTCCGTCAGCGAGAGCTGCAGGATGCGCTGCAGATCCTCCTCCTCCTGGCGCGTCCGGCGCTCCGCTTCCTCCTGCTCCCGCGCCGACAGCGCCATGGCCAGGCGCAGCTGCTCCGCGTAGCTGGGGAACAGCGCGCCCGGCGCCCGGCCCGGCCCCGCCGCCGGGGCCGCGGGGGGACGCGGGGCTGCCGTGTGCTGCGGAGTCCTGGGGGGCAGCAGCGCCTCAGGGGGGTCCCCGCGGGGCGGGCACCCCCACACCCGTTCCCTCCCAGGGGGGTGGCCAGACCTTACCAACCTGTCTCCCCGGCGGCCCTCGTGCGACATGGGGTGGGTGCCCGGCTTGCTGTTGGTCAGTGCTTCCCAAATGGTCACCTGTGGCCGGAAAGAGGGCGGCTTGGAGGGTGGCACCCCAAAGAACAGCCCCCCTCCCAGCATGAATTGTGACACGCCACCATAGGATGCAGGGATGGAGAGAGGTGGGATGAGTGAGGATCACAGGTGGCATCGGGATGGGGCGGGCAGCGGGGTCCCTCAGCCAGGAGGAGGTGAAGGGGTGGCAGTGCCCACCTGGTCGTACTCGCTGCCCGCTTCCAGCAGGCTCTGCTGGATGGCAAACTGCAGCAGGTCATCCTCGTCCTCCCGCAGGGCGTCCTGGTGGGTGCCCACCACGCTGTACCCCCGCGGCACCTCGAACAGCGCCGGGTCCATCTCACACGCTCGGCACGAGGCTGCGGGGACAGCAGAGCTGGCCAGGCTGGGCACCCGTGGGGTTCCCCTATTCCACCCTGCCAGCTGTGCGTCCCTTACCCTGCTGTGACCCCCAGACCCTACTGGGACCCCTTCCCACCCCACCTCACCGTGTCCCCCACATACTGAGGGAGCTGGAGCTGCTGACGCTGGAGGAGTCGCTGCTGGGCGAGGGCGCCTCGCTGCTGGGGCTGTGCCGCAGGGAGCTCACTGGCTCGTCACACCCGTTGAGGTTGCCGAAGGTTATTCGGGCGTTGAGGATATGGAAGATGGGGATTTCTGCAGGAAAAGGGAAAAAACACGAGGAGGGAAGCTGGCTGTGCCAGCCAGGTCAGCAGCAGAGCCCAGTCCATACCAATCTTGACGGGGAAGCCGGGCGGGAGGCGCAGGGTGATGAAGTCCCGCAGTTTGGCGAAGAGCGCGTTGCTTATTGCCATGAGATCGATGATGGGGGCAACCTGCTCACACAGGGACAGCGGGTGGTCCTCACACAGCCACAGCTTTGCCTTGAACCTGCCAGGGACAGGCATTGGGCTGGGGATCCCACCTGTCCCCCCTTCATGCTCTGCAGCAGTGGAGATGGGGACACAGGGAGTCCCTGCCTGCTGCTCCCCCCTCTCACTTCTGTGTCTTGGTGGTGAGCTCCATGGGCCGCCCCATGTCCCGGTTGCCCAGCTCGAAGTTGGGGTTGAAGTACTCCTCGGGGGTGATGGCAGTGGGGTTGGCGTGGCTCAGCGTCTGCGTGATCAGCGTCTGCAGGGGGGCACAGCCCGTGGGGTGAGAGGGGAGGTCTGACTGCAGGGCCACCCCCTCCAACCCCTGAGACACTCACCCCATTGTTGGGCCCCACGTGCTGCTCAGCGATGCCCAGGAAGGATTGCAGGGGGGTCTTACAGCCTGTGGGAGAGTCGGGGGTGAGGGCAGAGCCGGGGGTGCCCTGCCCGCCCAGCCCGTGCTGGCTCCACCTTTGCTCTTGCCCTTGTGCTGGTCTGAGAGGTGCTCGGTCCGTGTCCGTGTGATCAGCTCCACGTTGGAAGCGCCGTAGACCTGGCCGAGGAGGGGGGATGGCACAGGTGGGCACCTCACAGCTACAACCAAGTGGGCAGCTACAACCCCCCCTGGGCAGCTCAGCTCCCTGCCTCTCACCTTCGCCTCATACCCATTCACCATTTCCGTCTTCTCGCTCCTCCAGCCCAGGATCCCGGATTTGTTCCTAGGATGACACAGCACCATGAACTTGCTTGGACAGCCTGGGGTGCCAGCACCCCAGGGGCGGGCTCGGTGCCACCCCAGCCCACCTCTCGAAGGCGATGTTCTTGGTGTCGAGCTGGGTGGTGACGACGGGGGCCGTGAGCCGCCCCATCACCTGCTCCTCGGTGGGCTGCACAGCAGCCAGCAGCACCTCCTGGTCGTGGCCGGCCAGGGCCAGTGTCTCCGAGTAGACCACCCGCCTGTCGTGGTCAATCTCCATCACCACCGCACTGCTGTCTGCAGGGAATGGCGTCAGGACGGTCCCCACCGTGTCATCGCTCCCCAGGGACGGGGACACGGCGGGGTCACCTCACCTTGTCCCCGAAAGACGAAGCTGCGGTTGCCCCGCTGCCAGGTCATGTGGTCGAAGCCCAGCAGCGTGGTGTCCACCCGCAGGTTCTGGCCGCTCTTCCACACCTTGTAGGTGTCGCTGGGGCAGATCTTGGACACCAGGGGCACTGGGGAGAGATGCCAATAGCCCAGCCAGGGACACCCGCAACCCCGAGGGGGCTGAGCTGGGTGGGGGACACACCTGGGGAATGCAATGCCTTGGCAGGATGGGGGTCTGCAAGCTTGGGGTGTCGGGGGGCAAAGGGGCAGGTGACCCCTAACCTGGGGATGGGGATGGATGCTGGGGGACTCTGCTGGGAAATTCCCGCTCCCCCCACAGCCACGCTGTGCCCCGAGCTCACCCCAGCTGGTGAACTCCCACTTCATCTCCACGTAGAAGTCCTGGGCCTGTGGAGGGCACAGCGGGGTCAGGGGCAGCCCTGGCTGGTGCCCCACAGCCCCTCTGAGCGAGGTACCTTGCGCAGCTTCTCCAGCAGCACCGGGATCCCCGCCAGGCGCTTGATGGCTCTCTGGTAGTCGCGGTAGCGCAGCACCAGCTGCACCAGCTCCAGGTCACGGGTGCTCACAGCCTCCTGCAGGACTGGGGGCAAAGGGGCAGTGCCCAGGGCTGTGGCACAGCGTGGCACACATGGCATTGCAGAGCTGGGCGCCGCACAGGAGCCACAGGCACGGAGCACCAGGTGAGCAGTGCCTTGGGGAGCTTTACCACACCTGTGCCCGTGTTCACGCCCATGTCCATGTCCACATCTGTGTCCATGCTCATGCCCACGCCCACCTCCATGCCCATGTCTGCACCAGGGCAGCTTGCAGGAGGATGGAGAGGAGGATGGAGGGCAGCAGCCCCTCGCTCACCTGTCCATCCGCTGCGGTTCTCCTTGCCCACGTCGGCGCCATGCTTCAGCAGCACCCTGGCACACTCCAGGTGGCCCAGCGTGGTGGCCAGGTGCAGGGGAGTGCGTCCTCGGGGGTCCAGCTGCTCAATGTCGGCCTGCCAGGAAGGAACGAGGCTCTGAGATCACTGGGGCGGCCAGACCATGCTCTCCCACAGATGCGCAGCTCCCGACACAGAAAGCAGCCAACGTTTGACTGTATCTGGGAGAGCAGCCCCACCCCTGACCTCCCCCAAGAGAGGCACCTCAAAGCCTCTCCCGGCTGCCACCGCCAGACCCAGGGGGAGGGCACGGAGAGCACGGTGGTGGCTGCCAGCGCCCCGCACACCGGGTCCCAGCCAGGCAGGGCTGCACCCACCAGGCGGGCACACAGCAGGGGCACAGCACGGCAGCGGGGGGCACAGATGCCCCTGGCGCAGCGCACGGAGCTCTGCATATCTCGGTGCAGCTGCAAGCTCCGGAAGAGCCCCCACCTCTGGGATGTGGAGGGGGCCGTGCCCAGTTGCCAGGCAGCAGCTGCCGGCAGCCCCCCTCTCCCTCTCTCGCTGGCAGGGCCGGGCTGCGGCGGGCGCACGTGTTCCCCTGCCTGAGCCGGGGGCGGCGGCTGCGGGAGCCGAGCGGCGGCTCCGAGGATCCCCGGGGCCCTGGGGAGCCGTCGCTGGGGCTGCCGTTGTTTGTGCCAAACCCGGAGCCTGGCACCCGGCCAGCCCTGAGGAATCCCTGGTGCGCTGGCACCCCCGGCACCCACGGGCCCTGCTCTCCGTGTGGGAAGCAGCGTCACACCCGTGCCCAGCTGGGGACATGGCTCGGGCAAGGGGGGACACCCTCTGTGCCCCCAGCACCCACCTGGGGTAGAAGTGCCCAGAGAGGGGCACTCAGATGCTGCTAGGGCAGGAGGCAGCAGGGCAGTGCCCAAATAATTGGTTTTGGGGAGGCCACCCTCAGGAGAGCAAACCTGGGGTGCAGGAGCCAAAGGTGCCAGCTGGGGTGGGCAGCCAGAGGTGTTTGGGCATGGGCAGAGGTGCACCATGGGCTCCCTGGTGCCCAGTCTCACCTGCCTTGCTCTGGGCATGTCCTGCATTGCTGCTGCCCCAGGGATGTTCCTGTCCCTGCCCAGGCTGTGCATTCCCATGTCCCTCATCCCCAGGGACTCACCAGGCAGGGGGACCCCCCAGTCTGCCCCCACCACGGGAGCAAAACAGCCCCCACAGTTCCCTGGGAGTCAACGTGTCGCTCCAATGCTCTCCAGGCGACTGCTGCTTTTTAATTGCACTAATGAAACTGCTCTAATTAAGGCAATCACCCCCCAGCTGGGGGCGGGGGCAGCAGGCTCAGTGGGGCTCCCCAGCTGCAGCCCTGCCCCAGCCCTGGGCAGGATGAGGGTCCCCAGTTGGGGACACGGTGCTGGAGCCACCCCAGGGGACACGGCGTGACCCAGATCTGGCCAGCAAGAGCTCAGCCCTGAGCCCTGGTGTTGGGTTGGCTCCAGCTTGGGGAGCACAGCACAGACCCCCAGGTGCTGCCCATCCTGGGGCTGTGACACCCACAGGGACGAGGACAGGGGTGGTTTTGGGGTGGCTTTGGGGTGGCAGCGGTGCAGCGCAGAGCCGCAGCCCAGCCGCTCCTCCTGTGCCAGCCGGGCACGTGGCACAGCACGTCCCCGCACTGGGGCTGTCCCTGGGCTGGAGAACCCCAGCTCCTGCCCCTGGGTACCATCAGGGCACGTGAGCCAGCGCGGGAAGATGGTGCCAGGCACTGCTGTCCCTGCCAGCCCCGGGTCCCTGTCACGCTGAGGGGGCAGGCTGTGGTCAGGGGTGTCCTGGCACCACAGGCTCCATGTCACTGCCTGCCACAGCCTCGTGATGTCCCTCTCAAGGGGACCCACTGACCCTTGCTCCCTTGGGCAGGTAAGTGTGGATTGGAGCCCATGGTGGCAATTCGGGGGTGACAGACACAGAGCCCTTACGAGGACATGGAGACGAGCAAAGCTCTCAGCTGCCCCAGTGCTTCCCAACGCCAAACCCTGCACTGGGGAGGGGCAGCACACGGAGCCACTGCCCTGTGGGGGTCACCAGGGAAGAGGGAGGGCAGGGCACTGGGCAGGGGGGCACCCAACCTCCAGCATTTCAACAGAACCAGCCCCAGCCCCTTACCCGGGGGATGCTCTGGCAGGGATAAGGGCTGAGCCGTGTCCCTGGATGCCCTGGACAGAGCAGGGAGCCTGGGCTGGCCCTCATCTCCTTCCCCCAAGCCCCCACCTGCCCCTGAGTCTGGCCTGCAGCACACATGCCCCCCCTTGCACCCCTGGGGGGCACCCATGGCCGGCTTTGCTCTCGCCCAGCAAATGCCAGCGGGGGCCAGGGCAGAGCCCCCGCACCTCCCAGGCTGGAGGGCTGGAGCCTCTCTGCAGGCAAGCGGGTCAGAGCCCCCCCGCAGCCCCTCCACGTCTGCCGAGCCCCGCTTTGATCTCCGCCGCGCTGAGCTCCTGGGAAGGCTGACCCCAAATTAGCAGGAAAATAAAAACACTGCCCGTGGGGTGGGAGACCGGGGCGACGCTGGCGCAGCCTCCGGCTGGACCCCACAATGGAGACGGGTGTGGCGGGAGCCATCGCCTGCATCCCGGCGGGAGCTTGGCGGCACAATGACCCCCGTTCCGTGCATCACCGGGGTCCACCCAGCGCGGCCCTCGGTGCCCTGGGCTGGGAGGACCCGGGCCGAGGGACGGGGGATGCTCAGCACAGCTTCCTCGCCAGCCTCCCTCCAGCGCCTGCGGTTTCCTGCGTCTTCGGGGTTGGGTTTTAATTACCTGAATTGCATCGCCACGGGGGAGAGGGAGGCTGGGAACCCGCCGGGGAAGCACCCACACCCCGCTCCATCACCGGGCGGCTGGGAGGTTCCCGGGCTCAGGGACAAAGTGGGTCCCCTCACCCTGAGGAGAGCCCTTGTGAGGCTGGGGGGCTGCGCCCCGACAGCACCGGGGCCCTTGTGCCCCCCCGCCCCCAGGGGGGCTCAGCCTGAGAATGGGGGGCTGAAAGCTGCACCCCCAGGGGGGTGGCAATGCCCTGAGCAGCGGGGTGCGGGCCGGGGGTCTGCAGAGGCCTAGCGGGGAGCGGGGGACACGTGCGGAGGGATGCTCGGGGCTGCGTGTGCTGGGGATGCAGGGGACCCGCGGGTGGCAGCCCCGGGGACAGCAGGCACAGAGCCGGGGTGCAGGTGGGGACACACACCACACCCCCCGAGCCCGCCAGCGCACAGAGCGACCCCATCGTTATCACCCCCCTCATCTCCATCCTCATCCTCACCCCGGCCCCGGGCATTGCATCAGCCCGAGCCGGGCCGGGCCGGGCCGGGCCGGGCCGTGCCGGGAGCGTCCCCGCGCCGCCCCACCTGCTTGGCGCTGAGCTCCCGGTCCAGGTCACGGGCGCGGTTGTGCCAGACGAGGTAATGCAGCGGGTACCTGCCCTCCGGCCCCTTCCTGCCCGAGCAAGACGCGAGCATCCTCCGTGCATGCTGGAGCGGCGCGGCGGGCGCGGCGCGGGGCGGCGCGGCGCGGGCGGGGGGGCGCGGGGCGGGGCGGGCCGCCACCTCCCGCCCGGTGCTTCCCCGGCCCCCCCGCACCGCCCGGCCTCATGGGACTTGTAGTTGCCCTGCCCGGCATCGCCCCCTTCTTCTTCCTCCTCTTCATCCTGCTCTTTGCTCGCCCCCCTCCCGCAGCGCTCAGCCCATCACCGCGGCTGCGATCCCACGGCGGGGCTGCAAAGGGGCACCCCATTAGCGATCGGCATCCTCCCCAAATTCCCCCCTTTCCCAGGCTGATCTTCCCCCTCCCGGCTGACCTCCGCTCCCCCAGCGGGGCAGCGGCCCGAGCATATGGCGGGGCAGGGGTGAAGGCGGCAGGTGGGGACCAGGTGGGAGCCGGGGGGGGACCCCGATCCCGCCCCCGCAGCACCAGGCACGGGCCCCCAGCCCCGTTTCCTTTTCCGCCTGCGTCTCTCCCGGGCGGGCGTCGCGTTTTCCGGCTGCCGCCCGAGAACAATGCAAGGCTGGGCCTCTGCGGCCGCCCCGGCCTCCGCCGGCGCCGCGCTCCCGGCCCCGCTCCCGGCTGCTCCCCCCTCCGGTGCCGGGAACCCCCCCGGTGTTGTTCTCCGGTGTTGTTCTCTGCCCAGCCCTGGCGCTGGCGGGGGTCGCAGCCCCCCGCCCCTGTCCCCACAGCATCCCCATCCCCCTGCCATGCCCCATGACGTCATGAGCCACCTCCTCACAGCCGCGGTGAGGTCACCTCGCTGTCCCGCGGTGCTGGGGACACCGTGCGGCCCCACTGCCCCGCTCCCGCCGGGCTCTGACCCCGCCAGTGTCTGTGCGGCTTCCATGGGGTGTCCCCTCTGGTGCAAGCACCTAAAGGGTCGCAGTGGGGAGCAGACCCCAAATAGTCCCCAGTCCCCTCACCCACCCCAAAATCCCCTGCTTAGCGCCCTAAATAAGGGGTGTGTGGCCCAACCCCGTGTCCTGGAGAAGGGCTCTGTCCGGGAGTGGGGTGCACAGTGTCAGAGGTGGCACAGCGTAGAGGGCTGGGGTGCCCCAGGGCTGCGGCTGGATCCAGAACAAGTGTCCAGGGCAGGACTGAAGCCATTTGGGGGTGCCCTGGGCTGGGACTGGGTTACACAGGATCCAGAACAGGAATGGGATCAGTGCCACCTCTCCGGGATAAACAGGACAAGGGCTGAGAGCAGGACCAGGACGGTGCTCTGGGCTGAGAAGGGGACCGGGAGTGCACCGAGGGCGGGCACAGGGGTCAGCACCGGGGGATGCCCGGGATCAGGGGCAGAGCAAGGGCAGGGCTGATGCCCAGCAGCAGATGAGGTGCCCGGGTGCGGGTCGGGGCTGTCCGGGGGGCGTTTGCAGGTGCGGCTGCGGGTCGGGGGCGTTCCCGGTGCGGCTGTGGAGCGGTGCCGGTGCCCGTCCGAATTCGCGTGCGGCTCCGGCTCCGTGTGCGGGGCGGGGGCGTTCCCGGCGCGTGTCCCGGTGCGGGGCGGCGCCGGCACCGGTGCGGGTTCGGGTGCGGCTGCGAGTGCGGGGCGGTGCCGGTGCCGGTGCGGGGCGGCCGCGGCAGCGCTGCCGGTGGCGGGGCGGGGGCGGTGCGGCCCCTCCTCCGCCGGGGCCGGGCCTGCGCCGCTTCCTGCGGAGCCGCCGGGCGCAGGGAGCAGCCGGCAGCCCCCGGCCCCGCCGCCCCGGGCCCCGCTGCCCCCGCCCCGCCGCCCGGCCCCCCCTCCCCTTCCCCGCCGCCGCTCCCCCGGCGGGCCCGGGGGCGCTGCCGCCGCCTCACGCTGGCGCAGAGGCCCGGGCCCGGGCCCGCCTCGCCGCTGAGGATGTCCCGGAAGGCGCCGCGGGCAGAGGTGTGCGCCGACTGCAGCGCCCCAGGTAAGGCCCCCCCGCATCGGCACCGGCTCGGCCCCGCCGGCCCCCCCGCGCCTCCGGCTGCCCCCCGGCGCCTGCCCTGCGCGCCCCCCCGCCCCACCGAGAGCCCCCCGTGCGCCCCACGGCACCCCCGGCGCGGCCCCCGCACCCCCGCTGCACCCCGAGGTGTTTGCCCCGGACTGCTCCCCGTGACCCCTTCTGCATCTCCTCGTACGCCCCACATCGAGACCCCTTTGCGGCTCCCTGAGCGCCCCCAGGATCGCCCTGGCGATTCCTTTCTGCTCCCCACTCCGCACAGCCAAGGGAGCCCCGCTGAGCCCCCCGCCTGCGCCCAGGAACCCTCTGATGTGCTCCCAGTGAAACGCTGTGATGAAACTCATGACCCCCTTGGTGCACCCCGTTTTAGCCTCCCGGAATGCCCTCACACACTCGAGACACAGCGGCGATACCCCCGCATGCCTCCTCCGTGCGGCTCCAGCGCGCCCCGGGTGCCCCCACGCCCCCCGGCACCACCCACGGCTTTCTCACCCCGGCGCGGGGGCTGCTGGCACAGCCCGGGGACGCGCCGCTCGCTGCCAGCAGCGCCGGTGACCCTGTAAATGACAGCATGATGGGGGACACCGTCCTGCAGCCCGCAGCCAGCACCCACCCCAGCCGGATCCGGGCTTGGCGGTGCCGGTCGGGCGAGCCGGGCGGCCGCGGCGCTGCAAGCCGGAGCCGAGCCTGGGCAAGACCATTCCCATCCCCGGCGGTGCCGGTGCCCGCAACCCCCACGCTGGGGACGCGCCCGTGGGCGTCGCGGAGGGTTTGGCCCCCCAAACCCTGCCCACGGTTGGGCCGGACCCCAAACCTGCCCGTAGCCAGCACAGGTGGCCCCACGGCAATGAATGAACGGGGCTCGGAGCCGGCCCCGGAAAGCTGCCCGCGGGCCAAGCCTGTGCCGAAATTATTCCGGCCACGTGCCAATGGCCGGATCCTGCCAGCGGAGCTGTCGGCACGCGTGGGCGAAAGGCTGCCCTGCCTCCAGGCATCCCCCGTGCCGGCGGGCGAGCGGGGGGCCCGGGGTTCCCGGGGCGGTGCCGGGGCTCCCTGCTGCGGCCCGGGGAAATGGAAAACAGTTTCTTCCAATCTCTTATCGCCTGGCAGCCATGGGAGGAAATGAGTTATAAAGTCCAGAGGCCGTTTCCTAGCGCGCGGGGAGCACCGGGGATGCGCTGCCTGGCCCTGCATGGGGAGGTGCCCGTGGGGCGCTCCGGTCCCTCTGCCCCACGCAGGGATTCCGGCTGCCCCCGGCCCTGCCATCGCCGCTACGGGGCCGAGTGCTGGGGGTGCCGGTGTCACCCACATCCCGATGCAGGGATTGAGGTGCTGCGAGCTCCCTTGGACTCCAGGATCCTCGCAGGGTTTGGAGTGTCCCTGTGCGAGCACTCCGTGATCTGCTGCAGTGCCCGCCCGCATCCCACGGCATCCCCGCGCTCCTGGGGCGGGAGGGGCTGCTGCCCCAGGGATACTCTGGATGCACCCGCCTGGGGGGGCCGCGGGCCGGCTCCCCCCGCACGGAGCGTCCTGTTCCCGGCGGTGGCCGTGGGCAGCGGGTGCGAAGGCACAGATGCCGCCGCACCGGCTGCCAAGGCGCTGCCATCTGCGTGCACGGGGCTGCCAGGCTGGGGGGGCCGCCGCTCCCCCCGGCCACCCCAGCCCGGCCCCGGGGCCCTGCAGCAGGGCAGGACGCCGCGCCCTCAACGCGGGGTCCTCAGGCCTTGGGGGCTGCTTGGGGAGGGGTCCGGGACCCTGCAGGGAGGAAGTGGGGGAGGCTTGGCTGCCTGCCTGCCTTCCTCCCTCGGTGAGGTCGTGGGGCCGCTGTCCCCCCTCAGGCCAGTGCGGCCGCCTCCCAGGCCCTGTGTCCCCGGGCTTGCGGCTGCCCCCGCCGTGGGACACTGTGGTGTTTGTGTAGGACCCACAGAAACAAGGGGAGGGCAGGGGGTGGGCACAGGGTGGCGGGACTCCCCCGTCGTGCCCGGCACAGGGGACACCTGGGGACCCTTCAGCATCGTCACCCCGTGCCCGGCTGCGTTTCCCGGGAGGGGGGAGGTAGCTGTGACCCAGCGGGGGTCCTCAAATCCTGTCCTCATTCTGCTGTGAACAGCTGCAGCTCAACGGCCGCACCACGGGGCCAGACCCGTGGTCCCCAGGAGGCGTTTTTGGGGCGCGGGCGTGGGGAGCTGCTGCCGGGCCGGGAGCGGTGCCCCCGCGGGTGCCGGGGCTGGTGCCAGCGCGGGGCCAGCGCGGCTGCTCAAACGATCCTTTGTTCCCGGCGGGGACACAAAGGGCTCCAGTCCGGCCGGCCGGGGCCAGCGGCGGGGCTGGAGGGGCACGGCAGCGTGGGGGGCCGTGGCACCTGCCCCGGAGCTGGGGTGTCCCGAGGGCTGGCTGTGCTGGGGTGCTGAGGCTGCAGAGCTGCTGGCCATCCTACACAGGAGCCCATGGACTGGGGGTGCCCACCCACTGTGGGGCACACTGCCCCCATCCAGGACCCCCCAAACACCCAGCTGGGGGCTCTGGGGTGAGTGACCTCACAGTGAGCCAGAGTGCCCCTGATCCGCGTGTGCTGGCATCATCCCTGCCACCAGCTGTCCTCCTGATGGTGGGGGGCCAAACCCTGCCCCCGTTTTGGCTGGTGGTTGCTATGGGAAACCCGTGGGTTTCCCCTGGTGATGGGTTGAGCCCCTCTCCATCTCTCGGGAAATGGTTGCTGTGGCAACGCATCCCCCCTGCTGGATGGATGCACGAGGAGGGGACAGCACGGGGAGGGGACACCCGCTGACACCCCCGTGCCACCCCCAGACCCTGGCTGGGCGTCCATCAACCGCGGGGTGCTCATCTGTGACGAGTGCTGCAGCGTGCACCGCAGCCTGGGCCGCCACATCTCCATCGTCAAGCACCTGCGCCACAGCCCCTGGCCCGCCACCCTGCTCCAGGTGGGTGCTGGGGACACTGCAGTGTGGGGACACGCACACTGGGACCCCCCGTGCCCACTGGGCCCTGCCTGTCCCCTGCAGATGGTGCACACCTTGGCGAGCAACGGGGCCAACTCCATCTGGGAGCACTCGCTGCTGGACC